CTGATTTGATGGATAAAACTAGTTTTGGAACATGGAGAAGACATTTCACATTGATGTTTGTCTTTATAACTTTGTTATCATTACTATAACAATGTTTTCAATTTTTTTGTTCTCAATATTTGTATTTGCAAACTTTGCACATGTCCTATAATTATAATTTTTAATTAGAAGTTAATGTTTCTAACCAAGTTAATAATGTAAACATTGGAAAATCTAATAAAATTCATAAAACAGTTGATACAAGGTCAGAGTAAAATAGTACTACCACTAATAACAACAACACCAATAATAATAATAGCTAACTTCTCATTTCAAACTATACTCTTCTGCTAAGGTTGCTAGCTAATCTCTGTTGCAGAAGCCATTTCTGTAACACCCATAATTCCAATCTGAGGTTTATACTGCAACTATGCTAAGCAGACTTTAGTTACAGTTTCTGGTAGAAAATGCATAATCTGATGTAATTAGTAGTTGTGATGTGCTTGCACAACCACTGATGGCCCCTGAACAGTTTCATCTACCCAATTTCACTCACAAAGATTGAGTTAGCCTGTGCCATGCTTTTCAGACAATTTTCAACAGTACTGCACATTATGATTATTTCTACAGAATGATATAATCATGAAGTTACTCCTTTCCATGAAAACATTCAAACACAGGTTCTAACTACACAGCCACACACACACACACACTGAATTAATTGATTGATTGTTTTTTATTGCTTTTGCCGGTTATTTAAAGCCAGAAAATATTTTTAGATTGTAAGAATTTTTTGAGATAACTGATACGAATTCTACTAATTAAATCACAGCTGGAGGGGGAAAAGATGGAATCTTAGCTTTACCAAGTGTATTTGCATGTAAGTATATATAACAAACCTAACTGGAATTGGTATTTGACTCTCCAATTTTCAATTTCAAGCCATTACATCACATGGTATTCCCAAGTGGTCACCTATCTAGGTGTTAACCAGGCTTGACGTTGCTTAACTGATCATACAAGAAACTGATATTTTAATGTGATATGGCCATAAGCCCACACTGACTGAAAGTAACATATAATCTACAAAAATATATACATATTATGTAAAATATACTGTTCATTATTAATGCAACTATTTTTGTGAATATTTTTCATTAGTATTATAACAATTTAAAAAAAAATTAAAAGTGGCTAATAAGGTGAAATACAATGAGACAGATAAGTGTGTGTGTGTGTGTGTTTGTGTGTACATGTCAATAAATTATTAAATTATAATCAGTATACACCAAAAAAAAAATGTAAATTCCTTGAAATCAATTAAAAAAAAAAAAAAAAAAAATCAAATAACCAACCAGAATTTTCAAAAGTATAAAAAAATTCAGAGGATATGTTTTCTTTTCCTAATTTCATACAAAATATATTTTGTACTTGTGAATCTTTTATGGCAAAAAATTGGCTATCATGAAAAACAACAAGTTGAAAATATAAAATCCTCAAACAATGCAATTTATGTTTTATCTAAATTGATAAATTATATTTATTTTGGAAATTAATAGTTTCATTTTACTGAGTAGTATTTTTCCTCTTTTATTTAATCTCATTAATACATAAAAAATAATTTAATTACTGTAAATTAATTTAAGTTACCTCTGTTATTAGGATAATTGTTTCATTTTATTCCTTTTTTCCTCAGGTTGTTTAGATTTTACTAAATTTTGCTAATACATGTAAATTTGAAAATTTGTCTTTGCTAATTTGTTATTTAAACTGTAAATTTAATTGAATTACTCATATCTTGTTTTCTCTATGAAACTATCTCTTCAATCATCTTTTCTTTCTGACAGCCATATTTTCTGTGATTACATTTTCACTAAAAGACAAAAATGAAAGACCAAGGGGAATGGAAACAGTCTACTGTAGATAAACAAGACAATTGCTAAACAACTGTTTCCTGAAGTTCTGAGAGAAAAACTTTCATTATTCTACACATATTCTTTCATCTTTGCTGTCTTTATCAGAATGTTTAAGTAATTTTTTCAGGTATGGTCTGTGTGGAATAAGACAATATAAAAGGTACAGATAAAAATTTATGTAAAAAAAAAAATAAAATAGATAAATAATTTTTTTAATTCTTATATTTTCAGCATTACATAACTTCTGTCATATAATACAAATATTTAATTCTGGAATTGTTTGTGGGTAATTCTGGTGAATGAGGATATATGATACCAGTCACCTATCTAAAACTAAAACTCTTTAAATTGCAGGATATTTTTTAAACAACAAGTGAATTATTTATCATTATATTGTCCATATTTTCTTTCAATACTTCTTTATTTAATCAGTAAATGGAGCAAGTCTCATGACTATAGTAATTCATCACTGTTTCCCGAAAATCATTTCAATTAAAGCCTTCAGAATGTTATAGAATATTAAAAATATATCAATGAAAAAGTTTTCAAAATACAATTACATTTACAGATTCAATTAAAACGATATCTTAAAAAATTATACTCACCTCTTCATAGATTGCCAAGGATTTGTAGGGGTTTACAGCAATCAAGATGGATCCAGTGAATGTCTGAGATGTGCTTAAGGAAATTGGGTGATTTTGTTTTTAAAAAAATACATTTAACAAAAGCATAAATACATTTTAAAGACATTTAAATAATATACTTAAGATTAAGAGAAGTGAGGAAGAGGGAGACATCTCTTCCCAGTTTTTGCTATTTATGATTATGACCTCTAGATGTATATATGTTGAGCACAGAATTTAAAAACAATGATTATTGATTCAAAACATTACTGTTAAGAAAATCACTCCAAACAGATATAAAAACTAATGTATAAACCTAAAAAGCAATGAATTAGATTCAAGCATTTACAGAGTAATGCATATCTTCTAAAAATGTTTATTTTGGTAACAATTGACAAAAGTGTGTATAATATAGAAGTATCATAACCACATAAGTCATCAATTATATATAAAAAGAAATAAATCAAATATCAACAAGCAAATCAAAATGATCTGATAACAAGACTCAAAACAAAATTAATCAATCTATACAAAACTAATCATTATATCTTAAAATCAACATGAAACCTTCATTTTGATAAATTTGATTTAGTCATTTGACAAAACAGTCAATAGATATGAATAATAAAATTTAGAAAAGTAGACAATGTGTTCTCATGTCCTTGATATTGAAATTCTGAAAAATTTAAAATAGTTTATTTTCAGAAATAATAAAGTTCTTTTTTTTTTCATAATTTTTCAGGAAACAAAGAACTATTTCATTTTTGTTTTTATGAAATCAATTTTAGGATAATAAATTATGATTTTAATCATTTTATTTTTATCACTACCATGGAAATCAATGTTTTCTGATTGTGAAAACCATTAACATACATCTTTTATAAGTTTCTAAGGATGCAAAAAGGCTTTCTGCAGACTATAACAGTTTAAGATAATAACTGATAGCAACAAACCTGTGAGAGGAGGTAGTTTATTTAAGGAACAAAACCACACTTTAATTACCATGGGAGAAGTGCTTCATAGTAAACCAATACCAAAGTATGGGATTTGTTACTAAAATATACAATGTAATTAACAAAGAGTTCTTAGTGTTGATTAAACACAGTACATTATTAAATAGGAAATCAAGCAGGAAACACTGTAACCAAAATATTATGTTAACAGGCAATGAAATAAGACATCAACACATGCTAAAGACTACATGGCTGATTCATAAATTAGATATCAAGAGGGTTAAGTGACCAGTGACATAGAAAATAAGTAGCCATATTGACATTCAGAGATATTAACATCTTAAATGTCTTTTCAATATTTATTTTGTTTTGCTTATGCACAGAGACTATCGAGTTGGTAAGTTAACTTAAATCTATACCAGTTGTGTAAAGTTCTGAAATAATAACACAAGGGTTTATGCAAACTAATTTATTCGAACTGATGTGCTTATCTTAGTCCTTATAGTAAACAACATTTTGGCAGATATACCCTCCAACCTTCCTAGTTGACTGTCATATTTGGTATCCTACTGAGAATTTTGAAACAAATCCTGTATGCAATCCATGGGAGAAGATAGTTCTTTTTCAGAATCAAAGGTTATTCTGTATTAAATGTTAAATGGTCTTGGAATAAGTCCAGGTGCATTGAATATTGCTGCCATAACCAGAGATTCTTTAAAAAAAAAAAAAAAACCCCAAAAAACAAAAAAAAAACCCAACAAAAACTGATCTGTAATGTTATTGGTACTGACTTGGCAACTTGACTTCAGTCACTTTCCCCACAGCCATGATGTGGTTTCCCTCTGTCTTTTCTATAAATATTTTCATCATAATTGTTCTAATGAGCTCTTTTCCTTGATACTACAACTGCATGAATTTAAGCATACTACTAGATTTGCAACTAGGTTTCATTTGTTATTGTTGAAATAGATGTAACTGTAATTCTATACTAATAGTTTCTTTCCTCACCTGTGGAACTCTCTTCCAGTTTCTTGCTTCCCCGCCACCTATAATCTTCAAAGATTTAAATGTAACTTCAATTGCCATCTTCTGTCTTCCTGAAACCTGTTCTTTTATTGTCCTTTCTCATTACTAATGTTTTCTCATTCTCTTCCACTCTCAGTAACCCCTGGTAGCTTTTTATTGCCTTGCTTGGGGTGAAATGATAAAAAAAAAAAAAAATTAAAAAAATAATGGTTCTGTAATTTATAGGTTCAGATATCAGTATGTGAATGAGCAGGTCAGAGGTTGGAGGCCCAGATCAACCAACACATACCAGCCAATATTTGCAAGGAAAAGGTGAACAATTTACTTATGTGTGTTAATCTATCAGGTTCACCGATACAATTTTTTTATCAAAAGCCAGCAGCATGCCTGGTCTTATAGCCCAAACAGTTTCTCATTACTGAGGCTAATACTGACTATTACTTGAAAGTTTTGGAAATGATGTATATTAAGTCCTAAGCAGGAGTGGTTGGTGGGATTAAAGGTAATTAGATTTTAATGTTATATTGGGGGCGGGGGGATGCATATAACATTAGTCTGGGGTTTTATAATTTTTTAGTTACTGTGCACATTTTTTGTAATTTTTGCTCTGATGAGAGAGGACAAATAAAACCAATAATATATATATATATTTTTTTGTTATGAAATGCTGTTTAATATGTCTACTTTTATTGCTCTAGTAGTATAAATCTTTACAATGATGTTGCAGTGATAAAAAATAATGAGTTTTTTTCTGACTCAAGTCCTATTCATGACTACAAAAACAAGAAGTTGAGTCCTTATTGACAAAAATACTTTACAATAAATTTCTGCTTTCTGATATATTCAAACTGATATTTCTTTGTTTTGGGCTTTTTACTTCAAAACAATTTTTTAAATGAAGATACAAGCACAAATAAACTATCAAGTTGTAATAAAACCTCATTTCAAAACTTGAGACAGTTTTAGATTCTGCTGACTTGTCCCAATGAATAACAAAGTAATGAAGACAAAAGAATAAAGGAAACAACTCCTGACTTAGAAATTTTATTTCTAGCAACAAGGATTTTAAAAGGTATGAAAACAATAAACATGCTGATCTATAAAAATCCAGGATCAGCTAACCTATTCTTAGAAGAAAACAAAACTGATAATTAGTGATCAAAATTACCAGTCTCACCTAGCAACTTAAATAATTGAAAGCTATTAACCTTAGTCATTAATCTCTCAAAGTGTGCCACTTCATTGATTAGATAGACAGGTAGGTAAACACACAGTTGAGAAACAGTGCATGCTGAGGCCATTATAGAGATGAAAATGATCAATGATGACAACTACAACAAATTCTATTTTGTGTTTTTCACAATATAGGAAACTGGATAAACAGAAAAAGAAATGTTATTTTCTCAAAACTTATTGTGTTCAAAGCAATTGCAGTTAAATAGCATTCAACCATATACCCCATGAATAAAGTTATTTTTTGGTATGTTTATAAAGTATGCATATTTAAAATGATGTGCCAAAATCTTAGAGATAGCAGTAGGTGGATGGCTTTACCCTCACCCACTTGTAGAAATGAACTCAGTCAATGTATTTGATATAAGTAAATAAGTAGGGTAGCTATGGAAGCTATAGGACACAGACAGAATTTAATGTTGTTTGAGTCATAAAAGTTGCACACTATCTCTGACGTGACTACTGCTCTAAGTTTTTCTCAAGTAAGAGTAACAAAAATATACTCGGAATATGTGAATTCTGATCAGATATCAGTAGCATGTGAAAACTGCAGATGCCAACAGGTGACACAAAAATAGGCCTGTCACCAACTAATGAGGATAGTAAATACTGTACAAAGAGAAATATTACATAAAATAACATGTGCCACTCAACTCATTAGTCAATGCACTGTATAGTGTACATTGCATTCAATGGGGTTTTGTAGTCATCAACCAATGAGGGTACCATTATTGGCACCATAGTACAGTTACTGTGCTTCACTTGCCATTGAACTGTGGAAGATTAGTCAGACATGTCACATTTCTATTTCTCTTGGGTATATGTTTAAGTTCATGTGTGGAAAAGACCACATAAGACGATGGATCTTGTTTGTTAACAGAGTGAAATAAAAGCTAGCTGTGGCATTATAATAGTATGGGGTTTTTTCAAAGTGATCACTAGTAAAACTGGAGTCTGGTTTTGAAAGGTGCAATATACACAGGTCTTGTTGCAAATTATTTGCAAGCCTTTATGCTCCTCTTGTTTCTGGCTGATGATGCTTTGTTTTAGCAAGAATATAGGACCCCCATTATGTGTGAGTGATGCAAAACTTATTTCAGTTCAAGGAATATTTGATTGATTATAAAGTACTCTACAAGACTCCCACATTCATCAGATTTAAATGTCACTGAGCATCTATAGAACATGTTGCAGACCTTACTAAATTCCTGTCAGATACACCCAACAAACAAAACTCAGTTATGAACAGTCCTGTAAATGAAATGACTCCAGTACCTCATCGACTATGCCACATCATGTGGTCATTGTTATTCAAGTGAAGGATGGAACCACAAATTATAAAGTAGTATCTGGAAAAATCTTTATTCTCAAAAAAAAAAAAAAAAAAAAATGCTTGTTACAATCAAAAATATGTTTTAGCAAAGGGTTATGGATAAGCCATAAAAAACAAATCAATCAGTCATATCTAGTTTTTGACACTTCAGTTTGGTAGCAATCATTCATTATCTGTCTATATCTCCGAGATAAATTATGATTATTTACATTATTCAGACTGTTATCCTCATCTCATTGCTATATTCCCATTTCAGCCATTGTACACCTCAGCCTTCTTCAGGTGATTGGAATTTCAAACAGAGCCCTTTATTTCATCCACTGGGGTAGACTGGATCTAAGCAACACCTTTATCCACTGGGCAATATGTCCTGAAGTGGATAAAGGTGTTGGTTAGATCCAGTAACTAGACCCAAAGAGTTGTGTTGTTCAATACCAGGCTACAGTAGTGGTGAACCAAAAAACTTGGAGAATCAAGTTAAAGAGAAATAAATAACTGAG